ACACCACAGGGGGTGCGCAGGGGGTGGTCTCTCAGCTCGGCCCTATCCACGACACTGGCGCAAAGCTAGCAGGCGTGGCACTTTCTCGACACCACAGGGGGTGGGCAGGGGGTGGTCTCTCAGCTCGGCCGCTATCCACGACACTGGCGCAAAGCCTAGCAGGCGTGGCACTTTCTCGACACCACAGGGGGTGCGCAGGGGGTGGTCTCTCAGCTCGGCCGCTATCCACGACACTGGCGCAAAACCTAGCAGGCGTGGCACTTTCTCGACACCACAGCAGGGGGTGGTCTCTCAGCTCGGCCGCTATCCACGACACTGGCGCAAAGCCTAGCAGGCGTGGCACTTTCTCGACACCACAGGGGGTGCGCAGGGGGTGGTCTCTCAGCTCGGCCGCTATCCACGACACTGGCGCAAAGCCTAGCAGGCGTGGCACTTTCTCGACACCACAGGGGGTGCGCAGGGGGTGGTCTCTCAGCTCGGCCGCTATCCACGACACTGGCGCAAAGCCTAGCAGGCGTGGCACTTTCTCGACACCACAGGGGGTGCGCAGGGGGGTGGTCCCCCTATGCGTGCCAGGGTCGTCCAGGCATAGCAGGCGTGGCATTTTCTCGACACCAGAGGGGGTGCGCAGGGGGTGGTCTCCCTATGCGTGCCAGGGTCGTCCAGGCATAGCAGGCGTGGCATTTTCTCGACACCAGAGGGGGTGCGCAGGGGGTGGTCTCCCTATGCGTGCCAGGGTCGTCCAGGCATAGCAGGCGTGGCATTTTCTCGACACCAGAGGGGGTGCGCAGGGGGTGGTCCCCTATGCGTGCCAGGGTCGTCCAGGCATAGCAGGCGTGGCATTTTCTCGACACCAGAGGGGGTGCGCAGGGGGTGGTCCCCCTATGCGTGCCAGGGTCGTCCAGGCATAGCAGGCGTGGCATTTACACCAGAGGGGGTGCGCAGGGGGTGGTCTTCCTATGCGTTCCAGGGTCGTCCAGGCATAGCAGGCGTGGCATTTACACCAGAGGGGGTGCGCAGGGGGTGGTCTCCCTATGCGTGCCAGGGTCGTCCAGGCATAGCCTCTAGTGCGGGATTGCGTATTACCTCTCGTATCCAAGTGCCAGGCGACGCCGGATATGACCGTCACAGATGACTCCTCAACCCCTCCTCTCCCCCCACACGTCCTCCCCCTCCTTTCAACGACCACAGGGGGCACCTGAGAGCATGACGGCGGTGGTAGTGGTAGCGCGGTTCACACAAGACATAAAATCAGTATGTGGGGTTCCTCGGTAGCGTAATTCCATGTCAATCTACTCCTCATAAGTGCGCCATTCTGTTGCATGCAACTCTAGTCCTACGCGCATCATAGCGAGGGCTCAGGTCTATCTTTCCTGCTCTATCCTATCTCATCGTGGGCTCGATTTTTTCGGGGGGCGCGCCCCGATTTGTTTGTCGGCGCCGGGTGCTAAGATAGCGCCGCGGTGCGGGTGGGGCGATGCCTTGGGATGGGCCACCCCCTATGACAACCCTGTAAATGATTTCGATGGTGCCGGCGCGGTTGACTATAATGTCGAGGCCGTATTCGAGCCGACGGGCTTGTCGTCCATGGCGTCAGATGCGCGCAGGTAGGCGAATGCCCTTCCGTCTTCGCCGTGGTCGGCACTCCCGGGGAGCGGGGCGTCTGGGACGGCCGCGCCCCCGTCGCTGTCAGGGCCGACGGGCGGCCCCTGGCCAGGGCGGCCTGGACTGCGCGCGCGCGCGTCTCAGGGGCGCCGAGCGGGTGCGAGCGGCTGCGGGTGGTGGCGTCACTGGTCCTGAGGGATTGGTGCCCGTGGCCGTGGTGGTTGTAGTTTCGGGGTGGGGTGCTCAGCAAGGCTTGAAGCCACGTCCTGTTGGTCGCCTTCTCCTGGAGGTTGGCCTCAGGAGATTGGGCTTGGCCTCCTGGCAGTGTCAGCGGGGCGACGGGGGCGGCTGTGCTGATGACGTCGTGGGTGACGATGTGCGCTGCCAGCGCTTTGGTAGTCCGTTCCCTTTCGTGGTCGTCGACGGCGACGGCGACGGCGGCAATGGGCCGCAAGGCATGGGACAACCTCGGGCTGCAACGACGGCGTTGAGGGGGAGGGGGGGCGCCCGCGCAAGGGCGAAGTTTCCAGCTGAACCCTTGTCCCACCCCACGTGGTAGACTTCGGCGGCCCATTGGAGGCCTGCGAGGATAGTCGTGATCTGGAAGAATGCTGCACACTGGGGCTCGACGCCTGTGACGTGGTCCCGCGGGGCAGCCAGCGCTGCAATGGCGCCGCGTAGTACGAGGGCGATGTTGCCAGCAACCTGCGTGCCACGCCGTGGGCCGCGCTTCGCTCGGACGGCGCCGAGGCGGTGGGATTCGTTGTGGGCTTCGGCGAGGGTGGCGTTCGTGTCCTTGCACCAGATCGCGAACACGTCGCCAGGTCGCGAGACGACGGTCTCGGCTTGGTGGCTCGGCTCGAACATGGCGCCTGCGCGCCCTGAAGCTGCCGGGACTGCGCCGACGTCGGTAGGGGCGACGCACAAGGTGCAGCTTGCGCTTTCCACTCGCGGCGCCGTGGCGGCTGAGCGTGGCGGGGCACTCTTTGAAGGCGACGGCGGCAGAGTGCGTTGTGAAGATTGCGGCAGAGGCGTCTTGCAAGGCTGCGCCGAGCTCCAGCCGTTTTTGGTTCTTGGAGATTTGGTGCCGATTGCGCGTCGCAGCTTGGGCCCCGCCAGCTTCGGGTTTGGCGTGGCGCGTTCCGTTCACAGGGGCGACGCCCGAAATTTGTTGTGCGAATAGCGTGGAGAGGGCTCTGGCCTGGGCCCCAGCATCGACCTCGTGGAGGGTTGCGTGGATCCAGGAAACGGCTTGGGAGGCGTCCAGGACTACTTCAGCTTTGTTTTGGCGGCAGGTGAGCTCTGTACCGCCGAACTGGCAGAGTGTGCCGACGACTTGGGATGTCACAGTTTTGGTGGCATGGGAGACACGTCGCAGGACGGGGACGGCCATTTCCGTTCCACGGTAGTCGGTGTTGTTGGGGCCACGAACGATCACGGCGCGAGGATCGTCTTGGCGTAGCGGCGAAAGCAATTGTTCACGGTCGTCTTGGCCATGGAGCGAGAATTTGGTGGTGAAGGAGTCGCCCGCTGTGTTGCGTGTCGGGTGCGCATCGACTGGAACAGAGTAGCCGCCGGTGCCCAGAGTCGAGATTGAGGATCGAAGACTCCGCAGCATCTGAGGCACCGCCTCCCCAGGCTGGAGTCGGTGCCCCACCCGTGCGGAGGTTTTTGGTCAGTGTTGGCGGTTTTGGGCCAAGCCGATCTTGCGTTGGCACACAGCGTTGGAGGCTGGTACTAAACGGATAGATACATCGATACATTGATACATACATACACACATACATACATACATACATACATACATGCATGCATACATACATACATACACACATATATGCATACACGCAGACATACATCGATCCATACATACAAATATATCATACATATCATACATACATACATACATACATACATACATACATACATACATACACACATACATACCTACCTACATACATACATACATGCATGCATGCATGCATGCATGCATGCATGCACACATACATACACATACATACATACATACACATACATACATACATACATACATACGTACATACACACATACATGCATACACACATACATGCATGCATACATACATACATACATCATGCATGCATGCATGCATGCACACATGTATGCATACACACATCCATGCATACATACATACACACATATAATCATCATATACGATACATGTACATCCCCTCCTCTGGTTCCTCCCTCTGCGTGATAGAACTTCGGGCGTTTTTTATATCGCTTGTACCTTGCACGAGATCCTAGATGATATGTACTGTCAGGAGTTTGGCTTCTCTTTGATTGCCGTGCCTCGGGGCCCCTTTATATGAATGGTCGGGCGCACCATGGGGGGATGCACGCACAATTCCAACGCTTTATTTCTCCGTGTTCTCCTCCTTCGCCCCCTCCTCCTCGCCGATAGGGGTGACGTTAACCCGGCCGGCTACTTTAAGTCACGGTCGCAGTCCAAGCCCTAGATGCAATGGGTGCCGTGATAGCCCCCATGAGGGGCAGCGGATCTGATGTTGGACGGGCATCGTGTGTTTTGGTTCCGCTGTCGAGTTCATTTGCAGGAAAAGAATGTGTAAACATTATGTGCGTTGATCCAGAAGACTGTTGCAAACACGTCGGGTAATTCGGTGATTACGTCGTCTTGTGCGCGGGGGGCGCGATCAGCACCGCTTGCGCGGAGGGCAGCGGTGCGCGTATCTTTCGCGAGCAAACTGGAGTCTTCCGCAGCACGTGTGCCATTTGTTGCAGGAGCCATAGACGTGGGACGGCGGCGCGGGCCCTTGCACATGGGGGCGGCGGCGCGTGACAGAGCAGAGAGAGGTATCGATCGGCTTCCTTGTGATGCGGGGGATCTGGCCTCACCGCGTGGAGAGGTCAGACCTCATGGGGCGGGCACCATTGCTCGCAGGAACACGATGTAACCTTGAGCCGAGGCTTGAGAGAGAGAGAGAGGGAGAGCGAGAGAGAGAGAGAGAGGGAGAGAGATATAGAGTCAGAAAGAGAGAGAGAGAGAGAGAGAGAGAAAACTGCCCCTCCTGCTCGGATGATTGAGTTGCGCATGGGCCGCGCAAGGGGGGGGTCGCACACGTGGGGGCCTGGCCAGGATGGGGTCGCATGCCAAAGACACGAAAGAAAATGCATCGAAAGAAGAGAGGAGGGACAAAGGATGGGGTAGGGAAGAGGTGTGCGGGGGGGGGCATACCAGAGTTGGGAGGGCGAAGATCGGACGAGAGGAAAGAGAGGGGAGGTTGTGGAGGAGGGGGGAAGGAAATGGGGGGAAAGGGGAGGGGGGGAAAGGGAAAGAGAGGAAGGGGATGGGGTGAGGGGAATGCGAAAGGGGGGGATTGGCGGCAGCCCGGAGGAGTCCGCCAGGAGCGCCGACCTTGCCGAGCGCCCCAAGGAGATCACCCCCAGCCACCCTCCGTCCTTCCTTTCCCCCCCTCCGCCGCACCCGCTTCTTTCTTTCCAAGCCCTTCCCCTTTCCCTCCGCGCCGAAAGTGGCGTTTGGTGGCGAGGCTAATCTGGAGCGAGTTGCCGCACTGTCAATACCACCTCGGCCTCCACGCGAAAGGCTTCTCTCAGAAAGTGTTCCTCCAGTTCATCCTCCCCTCCTCCCTCTGTTCATGTGCCTTATCCCCATACTCCCTGTTAGTATTTCCCCTTCGATTGTTTTCGAAACTCGTGGAACCCCGAGAGATTTTCATGAGTTGCGCTTCGGCGAGAGTGCGAGAGAACTCCGGGGGTGCCCGTATGTTCCACGACGAACAGGAGGAGGAAGAGGATGAGGAGGAAGATGGCGAGGAGGAACGAATGTGAGAAGACGGGGAGGGGAGGGAGATTAATAAGGAAGAGGAAGACTCGGAACATGACAGGGACAATTTGTAGGGAGGGGGATGAAGACGAGGAGGTGGTCTCCACGTGCTGAACTGTTCATCCAGTGTTGTATATTCTTGTAAACAACAATTGGCGTGCTCACCCCATCAGGCCCTCCTCCGGTATAGTCTTTCTAGATATTATTTGACAGCGAGGCTGCTCACGGGCGATCAGTGATCTGACCAGTTCTGGCGCCAAACGCATTTGAAGGTTGCGGCGCAGGGCACGTAGGCTGTAGAAGGAGGGCGGAACAGTGCTGTACCAGACCCTAGCCGCGGACCCGACCAGCTGCGTGCTGCGAGTGTGGCGGCACTCCTCCCGACAGGGCGGCCGCCATTATGGTCGGGAAAAGTAGAAAAGGGTCCTATGCGTGCATGGGTCCCTTGGAAAGTACTGAAACACGAGCGGCCGAGGGTCGCCGCGGGACGGGCCGGGTGGCCGCCGCGCATGCGCGCGCACCTCTGCCCCCCCCCCCGCTTTCGATCCCCCCCCCCGCGCTCCATTTCCCCGCGTCCCCGGGGGCGGGGGGGGGGCTCGCTCAGAAATGCGGCGCGGCTCTTTCGAAGGGGTCTACTCAAAAGTATAATTTGGGGAAGTCACTGGCGGATCGTAATGTTGAGCGCATTTCTCACAAGTACAATCGGGAAATTGTACTTTCGAATGGGGGGGGGAGGGGCTCAAAAGCAGAACCGGGGGCCGATGGCCCGGGCCCTCGGACGCGTCGGGCGCGGGCGTCGCCGCGCGGCTATTCCGGCGAGCCCATGGGCGATGCGCCCAAAAGTACACCCAAAAGTACATTCAAAGGGCTCATGAGACCATATGGCATTTTCTACTTTCCCTTAGCTCTTGCGCGCGCGCGGCGCTGGGCTTGCGATTTGGATCTTCTTGTCCATTTGGAACCGCCGCGTCGGCCGGACGCGGGCGATCTGAACATCACCCTTCGCATTCCCAGCGGGGGCGTGTTTTTAAATCTTATCCTGCGTTTTTTTTTTTTTTTCCAGCGCACTATCACGACAAAGGAAGCCGTCGGTGAGACCCCGACAAAGAGCGACGGTCGTCCTGGGGTGGTGTCCAGGGCCTGACGATGGCAGCCTTGCGGAAACCTAGCTCCCAGAGATTCCCTCATTCGTTGGCGACGCCCTTCGGGGTGTCGCTCGGGGACGCAGGCGAATCTCTTAGGTCTGGGCTTCGGCGCTGCCGCCGTCGTCTCTATACCCCAATAAATGATTAGAGTTGAGATGCGTTCGGGGCAGACGGCGTGAGCGGAGATACGCACTGGTAAGGTCTGCTATGCCCTGCTGGGGCCTGCGAGCCCCATGCCAAGCACTGCTAAACTCTGCTATGCCCTGCTGAGCCGTGCGAGCCCCTGCCAGGCCGCGCTGGCCCCTGCAAAGCACTGATGAGCACTGGTAAGCGCGGCAATGCTCTGATATGGCCTGCTAGCCCTTGCAAAGGTTTGCAAGGGGGGAAGGGGGGGGAGAGGGTAGGGTCAAACGCCAGGAGGCGATTGTACAGTACGAGAACTCGCGGTTGGGATGCGCAGCGCCTGGGGGAGAGTGACGCCGCGGAATTTGCGTGCCAGCCCCCCTCCCCCATGTCCGTGGGCACAGGGCTCAATGTGCCCCCTGGGTGCCTGGAACGGTGGACAAGGGATAGCAGGGGCAGGTAATCCATATCGAATGTAGGTATGTTCCAGCCGCTTTGGCCCGAGCGCAGCTGCACTGGCTCGCGCCGCGCGCGCGCCGCGCCGCCCCTCGCGCCCCCTTTGGCTCCAGGATGGCCCCGAAAGGAAAGGCCAAGGCGGAGGCAGAGGCGAAGGCGCGGGCCGAGGCGATGGCGAAGGCCGCGGCGCGCGCCGATAGGGGGAAGAGGAAGTCGCAGAAGAGGGCGGCGCGCCGCGAGGCAGTTCGCGAACTGAACGCTCTGGCGGTGGAAGTGGGGGTGGCGACGCAGCCAGTGAAGTCAACGAAGTGGACAAAGGTGGAGCGGCTCATCGCGCCCCTCGAGAAAAGCTGCCAGGGGCCCGGCCGCCAGGCTGCCTTGCGCGCGGCTGCAGAGAAGTGGGCAAACAACGGGGGGAAGCTGAGCAATGGGCTGACGTCGGTGCCAGATGCGGGGCCCGAAGGGAGCGCGGAGTCGGCCATCCCCTACCACAAGGTGCTCGTCAGGGGGTTCCGGGTGCAGACTCACGCATGCATGTTGACGCTCAACAGTGCGGAGTTCACCCCGGATACGTGGGCCCTCTTCGAGGAGCTCCGGCAAGCGCCTCGGGGCCCGCGCATGGTCGGGGTGCCTGGGGCAGCCCCTTCACGCCGCCGCGGACGCGCCAAGGTACCACCTCCACGCGTACTTGTCCTGGAAGGGCGGCGACGGCTTGCGCCTGCGGAGCACGGACGACCTCGCGTTCCAGGACACGAAGCCACGGGTGGACGTGTGCACGCGAGCGAGCCCGGGCCGCAAGAGGAACGCCGCCATGCAGGGCTTGTACTACGTGTACCTCACCAAGCTCGGCACCCTCCACGCGGCGGCGAATTATTTTCCTTTCCAGGACTACGCTCCGAAGCCAGAGTTGCTGGACGGGTGGTGGGCGGCCCAGAAGCTGCCCCATGACCAGTTCCGCGAGTTGTCCTTGCTGTTCTGGATTGGTTTCCAGAAGAGGAATAGGGACGTGGAGGAGGTCGCGCAGGCCGAGAGGGAGGGGTCCCTGCAGAAGCACCTGACGGTGGAGCTGGCCGAGCTGGAGCGAGCGGATCAGGCGGCCCGCGCGGCAGTTCCCAGAGACGGCGGAGTTCGCGCAGCCCCTCTCGAAGCCGACGCGGCGCCGGCCCACCCTCATTATCCTCGGGGGGGCGAACCTCGGCAAGAGCATCCTGGCCGGCTCCGTTCTCGAGGACGTCGCGAAGAGTCTGCACCTTCCGGGATTCGTGGAAGTCACTGTCGAGGGGGATTCGAATCTCGACCTGGCGGAGTTCGATTTGGCGAAGCACTCCGGGGTCCTCCTTGACGGTGCGGGGGGCGCCATGATGCTCAAGAGACACCGGGGGGCCGTGCAGGGCCGCCCCAAGATGAGTCGCAGGGGCAAGTCCGCCACCACGATGTACTCATGTCCGTTCACGCTCTGCAGACGGGCAGTGGTGGTGACGATGGACCTCAGCCCCAAAAACCTCCACGAGTCCCGCATGGATGTCGAACCCCAAGAACGTCGCCCTCCTCCGGCTGAACGCCCCCGCGTGGGCTGAGGCAGCCGACGCTTCCGACGCGGCCGAGGAGTGCATGGCGGGGTGGACAGTGGAGGAGGTCGGCGGGTGGCTGGAGAGCGAGGACATGGTCGGGCCCGCAGCTGCCATCTGGGCGCAAGGGGCATCCGGCGCCGACCTGATGGCCTTCGAATCCGCGGAGGAGATGAAGAGGGACCTCGCCATGACGGTGTTCGTGGCGCAGAAAGTGCCGAGGCTCCGGGACACCCGCGCGCGCTCGTGGCGCACGCGGGCCGCGCCTTCACGCGCGCCCCCGCGGTGGCGGCGAGGGCAAGTTTGCAGCGCGGCCACTTTATATACCGTGTGTCTCGGCGCCGGCAAGTGGAGTGCGCCTGGCCTCGCGGAGGCAGAAAACGAAGCGGACGGCGGCGACGGCGGCGCGGACGGCGGCGATGGCAGCGACGGTTGCGGCGGCTGCGTGCGCCCGGGCCTTTCTGAGGGCGCTTTGAAGGGAGGCCCCAGGGGTCCCAAGGGTGGTTCCGGGGGGGGTCGACCCGGGGGGGGGCCCGGGGGCCCCACGCCCGAAAAGCGCCAAAAACGCATGGGATTCCAAAAGTTTTGGAGGGCCCCGGTCGGGTGAGCAGCTTCCCTTTATAATACTAATCAGGGGTTGCGCGCGCCCCCCGCGCCCCGTTCTCGGCCCTACTGGAACTCTACCGGCGCCGCCCCGTCTTCCAGAGATCCGCGCCGGCTTGCCCCCGGCTTCTAGAATTTCAGGGGCGCCCGTCTTCTAGAATTTTACCGGCGCCCCCCCTCCGTGGTCGGTCGGTCCGTCGGTCGGTCGTCGTCGTCGGTTGTGTTTGTCGTCGTCCGTCGGCGGTCGTCGGTCGTCGTCGCTGGTCGGTCGGTCGGTCCGTGCCCGCTGTGTGGTCGATCGGTCGCGGGGCGATCGTCGGTCGGTCGTCGGTCGTCCGTCCTCGATCGTCGGTCGTCGGGCGATCGGTCGCTCGTCGGTCGTCGGTCGTCAAAGTTGTCGGTCGTCGGTTGTTCCGTTGGCGGGCGTCGGTGGGTTGGTCGTCGGTCATCGGTCGTCGGTCGTCGGTCGACCGGTCGGTCGGTCGTAGGTCGGTCGGTCGTCGATCGCGCGTCGTCGGTCGTCGGTCGTCGGTCGTCGTCGGTCGTCGGTCGTCTGCCGTCGGATTCGGTCGTCGGTCGTCGGTCGTCCGCCTTCGGTCCTCGGTCCTCGGTCGTCGGTCGTCGGTCGGTCTGTCGTCGGTCGTCGGTCGTCGGTCGGCGGTCGTCGGTCGTGTTGTCCGTCGTATGTCGTCGG